TGAAGGGAGCAACTGATGTTTTGATAACAAATGTTGCCAATGGGTTATGAGGACGTTTGCCGTGGCTCGCAAAATAGTATTCATAAAAAACAATCTAAAGCAATTTATCTATAAAAAAATTTCTCCAACCAATAAACAGTCACTGAACATAACTGGAACAATAAACATTCATGTGCCCATATTAAAAGCACACATTTCATGGGATTTATATTTTTGTTGTATTCTTCCACTGCTTTAAGAACTTCAATACTTCTACACTTTCTTGAAGTATCTAACTTGAACCCTCTGCAATTTAATGGGATATTGCACAGTCACCACATTAACCTTTGGACCTCTCCTCAAACTTAGATAAACTCCACAGAATATACTCAAAAACCTAAGCGTTAGCTCAATAGTCTAATACTTCCTATTACTGTACTTCAGCCACTGTTTGCAGAGATTAGCCCTGGCACTTCAGCTTTCATCAGGAAGCCCAAAACTGAGTAGGTACCAATATTTATCAAAAAAATAATTTAAAAATACATTAAAAAGGTTTTCAGTGGCTTTGCTTTGTTTTAATAAATGCAATATGAATTAGTCACATGTAAAAGCCGCAGACACCAGTTCAACTCTTCTTTACAAGAAAATTGCATATTGCAAAAAAATTTATTTCACAAGTTTCTTCACACTAGTTCAGCCAATTACTACATCAAGTTTGCATATTAAGTTATTTGTGTTAAGGACTGGCAGTATATTGATCCCACTGCTTTACACACTGTACATATATACACAGCACACTCTCCACATCAACCTCAAAGCAGACATAGGAAGAGATGCAAGAGAAAAAAATGATGAAGAAGGTAAGGTAAAACAGTAAGGATTAAAGAGCATTAGGAACAGGAGGCTACAGAATAACAGCAAAGAGATTTTACTAACAGACAAATCAGAAGAAAGCAGTCTTCCAAACTGACATCAATTGTCTATTTATGCTACAGAAATAAATTATATATTAAAACCATAATTCAAATAGCACACTACAAATCTCTAAGATTTTCCGGTAAAACAATTCTAGTCAAAAACTAATTTATACACTATTTCAATTCAACCACTTTACAGAAATTAACTTGATCTTGTAAATATTAATTCAAATTTTTAACATTCATATTATTCCACAACCTGGTATCTACTACCTTTAAATACACAATATTGTAAAATGTTGAAGAAGTCTCAAAAAAGAAATTTTTTAGTCGCAGTAACTTTTACATCTACCCTTGTTACTATCCAGCATAATGCTTTCTATTTCACACCTTGCAGTCTTGTACAAAAATGCTGCAAACTACCAGCGAAAACAGTGGATAATTTTAACTCCTCTTACACCTTAGAAATGCAACTAATATTTCAGTCAATTAAACCTAATCTTCTTGTCCTATGAAATGATTAAGAGTTATGTAACTAATGATGTCTAATTTTAGTTTCCTTGTTTCTATTTTTGGTGAAGATCTGGGAGAACGGTATACAGCTGAGAAACATCTTGTATCTGTTCTTTTAGGAAGCAAGCACTGAAAATAAGATTCAACAAATATCCTATACTTCAGTAAGTGGAGAACTAAGCATACTGAAAACAGCCCTACTAACAGCTCCAATTTCAATTACAGCAGCAAGGACCTAATTAAACTAAGAAGTCACCACTTTTTTTCAGATGGGTCACAACAGAAGCTAAATGAAACTTAATTTTGCACTGCTAGGCAGAACTGACAATATTGAGTCTCAGAACTATTCTGTTTTAAAGAGATTATGCACAAACTGCTTGAAAGAATGGAAGCCACTTTGTTGCATGAACAGCCAAAGTGAACAAACAGACTTTTCTACTGAAGCAATCAAACAAGAAAATGTTTCAGTAATGTATAGCTTTCAGACACATATTACCTTAATACCTCAGGATAACATATTAAAGCCACTTTTACCCCTTCAAAACAGCCTTTTCACTCAAGCTATTTAATTTAGTAGCCTGTAAGAGAGAAAATCCCCAACACCTAAGAACAACGACCTTTTACTACCAAGTATAAGAAGATCATTCACAGTGGCATGAACCTTCTTTCAGACTGAGACTTCTGGGAAAAATGAAGGATCTTTGCTTTAAAATTCAACTATGCCACGACCCTTTATTGGTCTTCATTAACTTAATTTTGACTGGAATGCTACGGAAGTTTTCATCGTGAAAGCAAAAAAGTTAAAATAAGATCTATTCCACTGTTTTTTTCTGCGATTTAGTGTTTACCAATTTCATTTAAACCAATCTATAGCTTAATCATTCATTATCAGAGAATATCCCAAGTTGGAAGGGACCCATAAGGATCAAATCCGCAACTCCTGGTATCTTGTTATTCATAACAAAAAAGAAAAATTAATGCCAAAAATGTGGAGAGAATTTGCTTATAGTGGTACTGCACAGGTTCACATATTTACAAGACACCCAGATTTTCTGAAAACTATCAATTGGATCATTACAGCAGAATTTGAAAAAAAAATATACCTAAACAGGTTACAGTAATACAGAGAAGAGAGCTATAAAATAACACTGTCAAAATTCTCACCAGTTACGTTAACCGGGTTTTCTTAGTTCTACGCAATCTTATCAGTGATTATTCCATTGGTTTTCAGGTTAAAAGACATACAGTAACAAAAATACAGCACACTGACAGTCTTCTTGCAACAGCTGTCAAAAATAAAAAAAACAAGGAGTTGAAGCACAAATAGTTTCCGGACTAGAAGTACATTTGGTTATTGTGGATTGTCTTCAGAGACAACTGCTAAGAGCTACAGTGAATGTCCAGAGCAAGAGACCTTCTACAGGCCAGTACTATCAACCCCCAGCAGACTCTTCAAAGAACAATGTCTGATTCACTAAACATAACCAATGACTAAGCTCTTGTAGTCTCCAAAGGAGGAAAAAAAAAAACCCAAAGGGAGGTAGAGAGGGTGGCTCCAAAGCAATCTACCATTTAAGAAGCAACCAGAGCAAAATCTGAGGTTTGATGTTTATAGGAAAACTTGCTTCAGCAATTACTTTTGCCTGTGTGCTACTTCTTCATTCACTGATTACCAACTACAATTATGGCAACCTGTATCTTACAGGAAGAATTCCGTATGACATTTTTCGAGAAATATAATTAATTTAATTTAATTTCTTAATGGCTCTTTTCACTTTGCTTCCTTCTAAGTTCTCACATGTGCCTACATCATCAGGAGACATATGAGAACATTCCAACATATGCGAACTCTCTATATAAGGCCCCTCATAAAAACCAATAAAAAATTATCTCGTCTTTGGCATGAGTCCAACTTCTTTCCTAAGATCTCGTAGCTAATTTCCCTTCCTAGGCTGGATTGTGAGCTCTTCCAACACCTACACAATCTCAATTCTAAGGATGCTGCTTTTCTTGTGAACAACCCTCAAACTGTATTTCCTATGATTTTCTCCGGTACTTAAAATAGAAGGAACCTTGCCTGCCCAATTTCATGGTTCCAATCCAAGAATTTAGAAAGAAGTAACTCACTCAGGCTGTCTTTTTTCCTAGTTACCACTTCTATCACTTTTTTGGTCTGCAGCTGCATGGAGTTGGGGGCCTCAGGAACCACCACATGCGCTCACAGTGACTTTTTGCCTTGTTCTTATAATACTGTTTTCCAGTTGAGAAGCTCTATTGAAGGTACTACTCAATTATCATAGCCAGGACTCAAAAAGGTCAGAGAACAGTATGCTGTTCATTCATTTTCCTGCCCTTAATAGTGCGGCTTTCTGCAAGAAGGGGATAGGATACAAACAACTACTTCCAACTTCAGAAAGTGCTAAGATACTGCCCCCAGTCCACAGGTGGGCAAAGAAAAAATTGCAGAAACAATATGGTATGGCCAGTTGGTCAGTATACCACCAGTAAAGCTCAGAACAGAACTTCTAGCCCTTGGACAGTCCCATGCTCGCATTATTCATTAAGCTGTACCCATCACAAATACTGATGTGCAATACAGACTATTTACACTGGTTATTTCTGATCAATAGCAAAAACCTTTTATACATCTACATATATTCACATGCACACAGACATATTCTTAGTAATAGATCTGCCCTGCTCCTAATCTACTACCTCAACGAAACATCAGTAAACACAGAAAGCCTGAAGGCTATCATGTAAACCAACTGAGATGAATAGAAGTAATCTCCCCTAACAATTCGGTTCCCTTTCTGAATCCTTCGCTCACTGGGTACAAGAGGAAGAGACAGTCAAAAGACATTTAACACATGGCAGATGAAATCCCAAGCAACCAGTATTACACCAACAGCAGAAGAATCAAACTGCTGAATAACTATCACATTGAAGAATTCTAGAATTACTGTTGAAACAAAAGTCGGAGATATTTTTTTTTCCACCGTGGACAGAAACAGAATGAAGCCTTACCTCAGTTGAAGTGTGACGAATAGGAGACCACAAACATGGCTTATTTCCTCCCTGCAACACTTATCCCCTAGGTTATACTCTCTACCATGGTAAGACTACCACATAACTTAGTGCTGTTGCTGTCACAGACACTTCACACATTCTGTCTTCCCCTGCCAAATCCTGCAGCAAATCCTTCCACTGATTCTCACAGATGTTGAGTCAGGCTCAGATCTTGCTTCTATTAACCACTGTATGTCATCTCATCTCAAAGTCAACAATTCCTGAAAAGTCATTCCTCCTGCCAGCCAAATGGGCTCTAAGTTCGTTGTGGTCTGTAAGCACTGCTGCCATCTCCAAGCGTGCTCCATACAACTTGCAGCACCGAGCTTTCTTGATCTTTTTTCACATGTTGGTATTGAACTACCTCAACTCCAATCGTACATCATCAGATCTTGTGAAATGTAGAAAGGGCAGAGTCAAAACAACTAAAGCTGTTACAAGATCACCACTCTAAAACATGAAAACCCTGTTAGATTTTGGATAAGTAAACTCATCTAAAGTAAGATGAGAACAGTCACTTACTGGTTTCGGCATTTTTCTTGTTTTCTTTAGTCTCTTGTCCACTTAAGCCTTCTACAAACTCTTTGTCCCCTTCTGTCAAAAAAAAAATTAAGAGCTGTTTTTAAAATAATCACGAGAGAGTTCATGTACCTCACAGCAAATAATACAAATTCCAAAGCAGGCAAACAACTGCTCTACATATACAAAATACACTTCCCAGTAGGTAAGATAAATAAAAAGCAACTAAGTTAGTCAGCACCAGAATCTACAGGTGTCTAAGCAGTAACCTCCTTTACAGTTTTTGTAGAATAATAATCCACTAATCTTAGAATAAAGAGACAACAGTTTTCCCAATGCTACAAATTGTTTTAAAAACTTCTAATATCAGACATCATCTACTATCAAAAACCTTTAACATTATTTGAGAGAAAGTAAGATTTGTACAGGGAACGACAAAGCTGAAATTTAATTTGTGAACTCTAGTCAAACTTCAAATATCACGAAAACAAAGGAAAAAACTAACAATTTTAAAGCATCAAAACTATATTTCATGTCTATAAAAGCACCCATTTCTCTCAGTGAAGGAATGATATGATCATTTTTCCCAAATGAAGAGAAATGCAAGTACACCTTAACAGCAAAAAAAGGAAGAAAATCTGCTCTGTTTCAAATAACAGAGCTTTTTTTTTTTTTAAGCAGAAAGGCTGTAAGTTACGTCTATCATGGTAATGAAAATATTCACTATTGTGTTCTGTTCCAAAAGAAGTTTTCATGCCTTGAACAAAAATGAGCTTGCAATGTTATGGGTAGATAGCATCCTGCCTCCTTTCAAACCACTCTAACTCAGAAAGAATAGGCAGCTAATGACTTTCTTGCACATTTTTAAAGCACTGACTTCCATGAATCAGTCCTGCTGCTGGTCTGCAAAGAGTATGAAAGGTGGCACTGCCTTCAAAAATAATATGAACTGGAACTACGGTTATACTAAGAAAAATGAAAGTGACATACTGCTCCAAATAATCTGAGATTCCAGTATTGTAACTCCACGATCGCATCAGATGAATAAAATTTTCAGAAGTGCTTAAAAATATAAGAAGAAACCCCAAAATGTTTAGAGTAATTCATTTATCAAAAACAAACTTTTGTATAAATGATATCTCATTCATAAAGAAAAATGCAAACACAAAGTATTGTTATATAGATATATTTACAAAACAAGTTATTTTTCCTTGCTTTGTGGCAACAAAAAAAATACAGTAAATATTAGAAACATTTGCACAGAAACCTAAGGTGCACTAGTATTTAATTTTTATTTCTTTTCCTAATCTGTAGAGATATGTTTGAAAAGAGGGACTGGGAAAAAAAAAAGGAGATAAAGGATGAAAACAGAATTTAAGAAGCATCAATGTTGTTAGCTGGTAAAGAAAAATTAATGTGAATACTAAAGATTACAGAAAGATAGATCTAATAGTATAATGCAGATTTGGAGCAAATTTTGTTTAATGAAAAATCAGACGGAAAAATTAAGACAGTATCTTTAAGTTATATTCATTATGACATAATTAATATAGCACAAGTATAATGGTATAATACTAAAAGCAATTACATTCCAGTAGATTATTTTTTTAATTACAGAAGATATTCTGAAGTATCGGACAGTGTCAGTAAGACTACTTTACTATTTTAAGATATCAATCAACGTATTCCTTAAAAATACGAATACACTTTTCTGCAGTTCCCCCTCCCTCCTTTTTTTAAAGCCAAAAAAGCTTGGAGCGGGGGGGGGGGGGGGGGTACACTTCCAGTTCACAGAAGTGACTGCCCCCTCTTCTCACCCCTCTCCCCAATGTACTCCTCAGAAAAATTCAACAGAGTTCAAGAGAGTAGTAAAAAGCAAAATAGGCTTGGCTCTAGTATCTGCTAACAGTAAGCAGCTTGCCAAGCTGTAGCAATCCCTGTGTTCACCTTTTTGACAGCAGAGACTCAATGCTTGCAAAACTGAAGGCAGATTGAAGCCCTGGAGTTAAACTCAGTTAATTAACGATGTAAAAGCTAAATTATATTCTCAACCACCATTTCATAAGTGTGCGAACTCAACAGCTCTGAAAGGAACAGAGAGCAGCACAACTATTTTTACGTTCCTATAGTTATACTAGCATTGAAAAGTAGGGGTATGGTAAGATGACTGATACTACTTAAATCCAGTCTCCAGGAGACAAACATGAATATATTGCACAAGGCGAGATCTGTGTTATCAACTGATTGCTTTCTGAGGTATTTCTAGGAGAGACCATGTCTACCACTTTCTAAAATGACTGCCATATGCTCGTATGTTTTATCATTGGAAATTCTTCCACAAATATGCCCTAACTTTTTGCTTTGGGTTTTACCCAAACATTTTGTTAAATGACTATCGTTGGGCAGAGAGGAACCTGGTGAAATTCAACAAGGGCAAGTGCAGGGTCCTGCACCTGGGGAGGAGCAACCCCATGCACCAGTACAGGCTTGGGGAGGACCTG